GAAGCAGGCAGACTCGTGCGTCTCTGGACTGGTGAGATTTCTTTTAGTGCAGATGAACTGCAATACATCCAGAACACGCTCCAACCAGCTAATTATAAAATCTTAACTAGACTTTATCAAGACTTATTGAGGCGACAGGGCGGGAGAGTGACTTATTGAGGCGACAGGGCGGGAGATGCCAGATTGTAGGTTTTACAGAAGTATTTTTACACAGGTGAGAGTAACTGTTCGCCCCTCACTTAAAGATCCAGGCAGATGCTTTTCTTTCGGAGACAGCGGGGAAATGGAAAGAAAGAGATTCCAATTTTAGAGATGCTACTTCAGTCGGCCACCCACCCACCCACCCAAACGTACTTAGGGGCAGAGGGAGGTAGGCGGGAGCCGGGCGTGTGCGCTGAATACAAAATAATCTTTTTCTCAGAAAAAGCCCACCCGGTTGCCCTCCACTCTTCCACCCACCCACTCACCTACCCACCTACCTAGCTCCAAAAAACTTCCACTTGACCCACAATTCCATAAACACGTTGGGCTTTTTAAAGAGCACGCGCGCGCGCACACACACACACACACACACAGGCACTGCTCTCTCACCTTCAGAAGGATGAGGCAATACTGCAAATTCCGCCAAAGCTAGGGCCACCCCGAGCCACACTTTGAAGACACCCATTGCCTCCTCGGCACCCACGCTGGAGGAACTCAGCCTTCAGCATCCAAAAACCAGCTCTCCGCCAAAACGCCGGCTTCCGCACCCCGAGCCCGCGCGGGCGCAGAAAGAGCGGGGGTCGGCGGGCAGTTACCTCCGGGGAAATGAGGTGATGGTCGGGCCCGCCGGGGCCGGCGAGGGATTCAGTTCACTCGCTGCCGGGGCTGAGAGCGCGCCCTGCTCGCCTGCAAAGCAGGACGCCAACGTGGGCTGCGCTTGTGAAGGGAGAAAAAAAAAAGGCAGCGCGCAGTTCCCTGCAAAGTCTCGCCGGAAAGTTGCGGGTCACCAGCCGGCAGCACCTCACAGCATTTCCCTCAAGCTGGACCCGTCCGCTCCTGGGTCCCCCACCGTGCAGATCCCGGCGCAGGTTCTCTACTGAAACAGCTTTTCAAAGTTCACTTGACACTCGACGTAGGCTCTGCGTCGGCAGAGGCGGGGGAGAGGGGGAGGGGGGTGGTCGCAGTAGCCCCGAAAGACCCACCCACACCTCTTCAGGGTCTGGTCACCCGGCTCGGCTGAGCTCTGCCGGCGGGGGCCGCTCGCTGGAAACTTTGTGCGGCGCTGCAGGCAGCTCCCGGACTCGTCGGCGCTGCAATCGCACGGCGCCGCCTCCGGCAGCGCTCCCTGCAGCGGACTGTTCCAAAGCTTCCCAGGAAAGACTGGGGCGGCGGCGCAGAGGGCTCTACTGCTACTTTCTCGCCCCCGCCCCTCGCCGGGGTAATGAGTGCTGCGGGGGCGCGGTGTGCTGCACACGCAGAGCCATCTCCGTAAGGTTCACACTGGAGCTGGTCTGCAGGGTCGGGTGTGATTAAGGGAGCAGAGGAGGAGCCATGATTTTAAATGCACTGAGGGAAAAGGTAGAGAGATTGGAAAGGACCCCCGAACTCAACGCCACTAGGACCAGTGAGCCCGGAAAACACACACAATCGACCCCGTCTGGATCCCCACGTTTGAGGACACACACTCCACCTTCCTCTGCTTCCCTTCTCTCCTTCCTCTCTCCTTTGCTCGGTGTGAAAATGGACCCAGGGACTCGGAGCTTTGGCAAAGATTCCAGAAAGTCACGTGGAGACGGGCAGAAGCGGGGGAGGGGGGAGAAGTGAGGGGAAGCGGAGAGAGCAACCTGATCCCCTTTTCGTTCTGCTGGAGTTCAGATTGCCTTTGTCTGGGGCGGGATCAAAAGTGGTCACACGAGGGAGGAGGGGGTGGAGGAAAATGGCGTGGACCTTGCTCAGGCTCCGCTGAGGGCTGGCGAACCGGGTCCACACGCGTCCCTTGAGGGGGGACTGATTCCAGAAAGGGATGTCCACATTCATAGGCCCTGACGCTTCACCCCCCACACCCCCAAGCCCAGCCCCGCCACTGCTGCTAGACTAAGTGTGTGAGGGGGACCTGATTCAACGTCCTCGCTGCGGGACCCTCCGGTCGTCGCCTCGTAGGTTTAGGCAGCAGTGTTTGTAGCGCTGTGTGTGCTAGGTGGGGCCTCTCCTAACGAATGCACCTTTACGTCTCCCAGAGAGAGGCTGTCAGTGGAACCCAATGCGGTCTCGGCGTGGTGGCTCCAGCTGCGCCCCCAAACGCCAGTGACTGGGAAGTAAATGACTTGGGAAGCACACTTGAAGAGTGGAGGCCTTGATTCCCGCCAGGACTGAGTGAGTGGTGGCAGCTATTTTTACCAGATCAAATCAAAATAGCTGATCTATACCTAGTCATTGTGTTAAATGAGAATGGTTGCATCAGGCAAATGCTGGCTGGGTTCGACTGGCCAAAGAAGAGACGTCCTGGGTCTGGCAATTGAGCTGAGACTGGCGAATCTGCTGAAGGTAATTTGCCCAAGCATTGAACACCTTACTGTGAAATGGCTGGAATGTCGTTTGTTTCCAGTCTTCATTAAAGCGGGCTCTATAAATTGTCACCGGCATCTCCTATGACTGCTACTATTTAGCCAAGGCAAAGAGACAAACTGGCACTGAGCCTGTCACTTGTGTATCTGAAGCACATAGTAGGTGCTTATTTAACACCTCCTGGGAGAAAATGAATTAAGCAAAACAGCAAGTCCCTGAGAGATGTGACCATATTAACTCCCCCTTCATCTGCTCTTTTTCACTTAAAGAGTTGTCATTTTCTTATAACATTGCTGTGAAAACTCAGCTGTGAATCCAGGCTGACAATCAGTATTACCTCTTTTAACCCCCTCCTGATAGACATTTTGTAACCACACTGACACTTTTGTGGGAGTAGCTGAAGACAATTTTTGTCTCAAGAATCAATTTGATTTTACTTTAAAAAAAAATCACATGATCACAGCACTGAAAAGAGACCCAATAAGATATCTGTTATACTCGTGCTAAATGCAAATGTGTTACTTTTTCACAAGGAAAGGAAAGGAGAGGGGAAGAAGACAGGGAAGACTAGCACTACCAAGTTACCCCAAATTCATTGCAAGCTGAGTCTATATATAACATCCCCCTGCGCCAACCACCCATCACAAGAGGTCCACACTGGCACATAACTCATCCTCCCTCTGCCTTAACTGAATAGAGAGCAGATAGCCCCAAAGTCCTTGTCCCAAGATTCCCAGGTGACCAAATTGTTGGGAAATGTTAACCAATAATTCCATAATCTTATGCATACTGGCATCATCAAAGGCCGTTAACTGAACTATTAGAAAAATAATTATTAGCATAACCTATTTTGTGATGAAAATTTAATGCACATGTTTATGTATATACAACATAACTAGTTTATAAGTTAACCACTACAGATGAGTGCTACATTCCAATACCCACTGCTTCCCCTGACTGAGAGGAGCAGTCCACAAGACAGAAATATTTAGGGCTACAATCCTCTTTATTCACATGTGTGGATTCCACATCTCCTATTAATGTACCCAACAAATATCTCCTTGGTTTATTCCTACAGTCTAGACTTTCCCCTGCCCTTGTTGCTATCTATTTGTTGGGTGAGGAGATGGAGAGGGAGGGGAAAGAAGAGGGAGATTGATTTATCAATTCCTGCTGTAAATAGTAGTAATAGCAACATGAAAAAGACTAACACATATTGAATACTTTATTCTACTTTCCCATTTAATATTCCAAAAATCTTGTGACATAGTATTATTATTTTTTCCACTTGCAGGAAAAATAACTGATGTTCAGAAAGTTAAGTAATCTGTCCAAAGTCAAGCAATAGCTAGCAACACATATTAAATCATGTTGTTGCAATAACAAAAAAAAAATTAGTGTTTTAAAATAATAAGGTTTATTTCTCAATCACATTCTGGCCCTACATATTGGTGGCTCTTGGCTTCTGGGCATTGGGTGACTTTTTGTAAGTAGGCCATCATGGAACACATGGCATGCACAACTTCTGAATAAAGGTAGGAAAGTGATAAAAGAAGAGACTGCAATTCCTAGGGACCTCAGTCCTCCCTCCTGGAGTTCAGTGACAATAAGGAGTCACATGAATCCAACCTAAATGCAAGGGGGGCTGGAGCCCATAAAGGAACACGCAGATATTTAGTGAACACTAACCACTGCTTCACTCCAGCATCCAAGCTTCGTGATTGTCTTAGAACACTTAACCACACACACTTGACTCTTAGCAAAGCCACAGGTTGAACTTCCTTACTAACACTCTGGTTCTGCAGATGTTTCTTGCAAGGACTCTATTGTTTCTCCAACATGTCTTTAATTTTCACCTTAGGGAACCTCCCTGGTGGCACAAGGGGTTAAACTGAAGCACTATGAAGCTATCCACCACCACTGCAGCATGAATTCAAACCACAGCCAGAGAGGTGACCCACAGGGCACAGCAGACCTCTCCTATCTCACCCACTTCTCCCTTCAGCAGTGTACCTCAGTCAATCTGCCTGTTCTGCTCCCTACTTTGTCTCTGGTGAATCCTCTCACACACACCCCAACACCCATACATGCACCCATCTGGCCTGTATCGTACCCCAGTTCTTATATGCATAAATGAAAAATCTTAAAAAAAAAATAATTTCCACTTTACTCTCCGCCCCTTCCTCCCTTCCATCATCCCCTGTCCTCTACTCCTCACTGTCTTCCATCTGCACAACCACAGTCTGTGTTGAATCTTCTATCATGTCTCTCTCCCACACATGCCTTCTGGGATCTCCTTCACCTGCCCTGAGCATGTTCCCACAATGCTCATGCACTTGTTCCAGTGTGTCACTTCCAGCATGTCTCAGTACTTGCTGGCTTTCCCCCCCCACCCTGCTTCAAATTGTTATACCAAAAGGAATATTCAGGTAATACAGATAGATAAATTGATGGGCTCTGCTCTAATCTAATCCCTCCATAAAAATAACTACAGCAAGCACATTCAGAGATTATTTTTCTGCTTAGCTAAACATATTCTTTTGACAAAAATAGTCATAATTTACATGCTACTTTGTAACTTGCCCTTTTTCTCCCAGTGAACAAAATACGTAGGCCACAATTTCTAAGTCAAATCATATTGATCTTCCTCATTCTTCTTAAGAACCACTTGGGTTTACAGTGTATGGATATATCTGTACATTTTTAGCCAGTTCTCTTTTGAAGAATATTATATTGTTTCTATGTTTTGCTTCATAAATAGCACTAAATGTTCTTACTTATGAAAGTCCTCTGTGCACTTACCCAGTTAATTTCTTGGGATAAACTTTTGTAGGTAAAATTGTAGGTAAACTTTTTGTAGGTAAAATTGCCTGGCCGAAGACATGTATATTTTTCATTTTGATACCTATCATTTAAACTTTGCAAATCCAGGTAAAAATGGCATTTTGCTTCCACCATTTATTAACTGTATCACTTTAGGTATATTCCCCCCCTGAACTTCAGATAATTTGTCTATAAAATGGATATTATGATAGTGCTTACCTTACAAAACTTTTGTTTGTATCAAATAAGATAAAAGTGCTAAGCAATACATCCAATACACATTAGCCACTTAACAGC